GATTTAACAGCCGGGCAGAGGCGGTGCTGAGGGCCAGGGTTTGGGGGTGGGATGGCAGGGGTAGGTTGGGATTGATTATCTTAAAGGGTTTTTCCAACCTCAACAATTCTATGATTCTATAATTTTTATTAATGGATTTTAAATTCCATTTAGGAAGGACAATACTTGTGGAACATAGACTATTTGAAATCAAGCCTATGTGCACATCACCAAGTTTGGAAAAAGGGGGCACATACGTCACTACGCTATTCAAGGGGAACCAGCCAAACCTTTAAAGCCTGCTTGTAGAGTTGCTACTTCTGATTAAGGAGATTCAAAAAACAGGGGAAATCCTCAGGGGAAGAAAATTTTGCCTACTGAGGGAATTACATACCACAGTTCTGAGCTCCAAATGCCAACTGGGAACTTGGTATGATCTACCAATATCTCCCACGTGACCTGGTACATTTACAATTTCAGAAGGACTGGCAGCGCGTTACACAGAGGGGAGGAGTTTTCCTTTTACATGTCAACTGCCATAATGTCTTGCCATCTCAGATAAAAAAAGCAGAGCCAGTCCCACTTAGAGATGCTTAAATTTTTTAAAGGCAAACCCAAAAGTAGGTTTCTAGCAACTGACCCATCATGAATAAATCCTCCCAAAGTGAAGACTCAATCGAAATATGGCAGTAGATGTCATACAGGTTGAAAGATATAAATATTCCAGTATTTGAAGCCACATATTAGAAGTTATTGTCTGCCAAATCTGATTAAAAAAAAATCAGACACTGTCTCTGGAAAGGCATTGACCTGGCATCCAGAGTCACTCGGTGGTGTTCTCTACCTCTCCAGTGCATCATCTGGAAATCTCAATGTCAAGAGGGATTACCACTGCAAAACTGCCTAGTGCCTACTTTGTGGTTCACCTGCACGGCCATCACAACAGGTCTTAAAAATGCAGACTATAAGAAAAAGGCAAGCACACATTGGTGCTTTTCCTACAATTATTTCATGGCCTCAAACATCTGCAGTTCAGTTCTTCTAGGAGCAGAGCTCCTGCTCTATTGCTCTCAGTGGGATTTTCCCCTCATGCTTTTCCAGTTATTGCTTGAATTCACAGCTCTGTGTGCTAAAATTGCCTTCTGTTTTCTACTCTTTCTGTAACACTGCTTGATTTTTTTTGACCACTACTGAACTAACATTTTCATGGAGTGGTATTACATCTTAGCCTCAAGTGAAGGCTGTCAGTTCAGAGTTCATCACTGTATATATAGAATTAGAACAGTTTTCTTCTGGCTGCCTCACTTTACGTATACCTACATCAAATTTCTTCTGATGCTATTGGCTAATCAAAAATTCTCTCAAAGACCTCCCACAGGTTCCTGCTTATTCATATGGGCTCTCTATTTCACTCTGAAAAGCTTTTTATCATGAAAAAATAATTTTAAACTATTCTTCCCTTTATCCATATCATAGGAAACATATTGAACACCACAAACACAGCACAGATCTCTACAGGACTCTGATAGCCCCAACTTATTTCATCACCATTTCTTTCTAATAGTTCATGAGAAGACTTCTCTCATCTTGTGCTTGTTAGTTTTCTGAAGAGGCTTTGGTGAGGACCTGGTCAAGTAAATGGTGTCAAATGCATCTCCCTTGACCAGATGATTGAGGATTCCCTCAGACCTGAAGTTTGCCATCTCATTCTTCAGAAGCCCGGCTTCCCACTGACCCAGTGTAAGTACTGCATCCATTAAAGAGCCAAATCACAAGTAATTTTGAATACAGAAATAAGGAAAACTGTCCTATAGGTTTCCCTGTAGTCTCACCTGGAACTGATGTACTGTAGAAAATAATTTGTTGCAGAAGGTACATCTGATGTAGGAAGGCCTGCATTCTGCACATCAGCAGTTTCATCACTTTCATCTCCTAGCTACAAAAAGAACAAGTATGTCTTAACCACTGACCACAAACTTTTCAGTTCATTCTTTCCCAAGACAAAAGTTTCATCCACAAACACTCTCTACAATAAAATCTAAGCCTACGTCCCAGTATTTCACTTTCTTTTTTATGCTAGGAAACCTGTGCAAACCTGTCTGCAGCAGGAGGTACTGATGATCCAACTCAATTACTCCATGCACAGGTTTGAACCCAGGCTGCCCTGTGTTTCTTTTCTCACCTTTTCTGTGAAATCTTGGTTGCATGAGAGCATCTTAGGAACACGTTTCAACTTAATTCTGACCCAAAAGGTAAGAGAAAACATTACATCGCACTGAGCTTTAGATGGTACCTATGATTGCAGTAGATGTGTTTATTTTCAAAAAAGCTTCTTATGCTAAGCAGCTGTATTAATTTATTAAATGTCTGGAAGACCAGGTTTACTAAACAGCCAACAGAACTGTGTTCACAGCTTCTAGCTTTGCATATATACATGGAAGTTTTAACCCCATTATACAGTGGCTTCAAAGTACTTCATAAACAGCCTGTAATGCTCATGCCAACAACCAATCTGTTCCACTGCTCCTTATCCTCACTTAAATATGTCAACTCTTAGTCAAGATAAACATGTGCTTACCTTAACTCTATCTCTTAAGTTTTGCCCAAATACAAACGCTTGCTGTGCATTTAGTTCTGCCTTCTCACAGCTGTCATCATCTGAAGTATTGTTGGACTCTTTTTTCTGACATTCTCCTGCCTAAAGAAAAGAAATTGAAAACTTTAGCCTAGGTAATTGAGTTTATTTAAAAAGCACACATTACAAGACACTGAGTCACACAGTCACTTACAGTGACAAGCCAGTAACATCTCTAAATTTTACATTTAAAAAAAATCCTCCATTGTTGTTTAGAGGATCTTAATGAATCACAGAATAGTTAAGGTTCAAAGGGATCTCGAACAAGCATTTGGTCCAAGTTGTGCTCAAAGCAGCACCAACTTAAAAATTAACATCAGGCTACCTGAGACCTCATACAGTCAAGTTTCAAAGAATTCAAGGATGGCAGTTTTACAGTTTGCATAGCCTGGTTCAACATTCGATTGCACTAAATATGACAGTTTGGTCCTAACACCCAACTGGGATCCCCCTTCCCCACACTTGCAGCCTCTCACTTGTTTGGTAGGCACTTCCAAGTCCCATTCTATCTCGCTACAGCCTACCACCAGATAGTTGAGGAGAACAATTCAATTCCCCTCCCCTAGTCCAAGGAGAATATACTCAGTTTTTCCCCCCCTCTTACCAGACACCACATGCTCCAGCCACTAGCCACCTTAGCAATGTATAAATGTCTTTCATGTACTGGCAAGCCCCAGGCTATACACAATACCCCTGACGCCACCCATCACCAGCAAGTAAAGGGGAATAATCACTCTTCTGAAACTAACAGCTGCAGTCTTAATCAATAAAAGGATGCACTGCTCATTAGTGTTCAACTTGCTCAACACTGTTGCACAGGACCTCAAGGTTCATGAGCCTTTTGTCATGCTAAGGACCCTCTATCTGCACCTCGGCTGCCTGCTTTCCGTTAGCGGCTCTAACCTCTCACCACAGCTGCCATGGCAGTGTTTTCCAGATCACCTCTGGCAGTATTTTCTCGTATTATTCTCCTATTATACTTCTCATCCCATTATACTCAGGGCCTTGCACCTGCAAACCCCTATAGGGGTGCTCGGAGGCAACTGCAGCCAGCATGGGAATCGCCCCCTCCCTCTTCTCTCCTAATTCCCGCCATGTAGCTTTTGATTTCCATTAGAAGACCCAACAATAAGCATGCACAAAACCTAACAATTAATAAGCACGCAGCAGCTGCCCCCATCAAAGCTCTTATAATCATAGAACCATTCGGTTAGAAAAGACCTTCAAGATCATTGAGTCCAATCTTCTTGTGGTCCTTTCTTCCCCAGTCATTTCCAGCTCCAGTTAAGCTTTGGCTTTCCCAGTTCTCTCCCCACACATCCAGGCAATCCTCTTGTATACCTCTCAGGTACCTTGACTTCTTTCCCAAGTTGTGTACACTCCCTTTCCGGATTTAAGGAGCTCCCAGTTCATCCATGCTGGCCTCCTGCCACACTTGCACAATGTCCTGCACATTGGGACATTCTCTGAGGCAACAGAGGCAACAAGCTCTCTTGAGCCCTTCTGTCCTTCAGGATCCTACCAACAAGCTCAATGAACAAGCTGAAGTCTTTTCTCTTGAAGGCTGGGTCTTTATTCTGCTACTTCTCTTCCCCACTTCCCTCAGGATCTCAAACTCATAGCTGCTGCAATCACAACTAGTCTCAACCATTGTGTTTCTAAGCAGTTCTCTGCTGTGAATATCAGGTCCAGCTGAGTACCTCCCTGGTCAACTCATCCAGCACCTGCATCAAAAAACTCCCCTGTCCTCAACTTATTCTTAAAATCTCCAGGAGCATTTCTACCAAGACATGTTGCCATTTCATCAGGTGCCGAAGTACTTGAAGTTCCCCTTTAGAACCAGGGTCTGCAACTGTGAAGCTTTCAGTTCTCCAAGGGCTTTAGCTACTTTCTCCTCTTGATCAGTCCAACCCTAGCAAAGGTTCACCTTAATCTCCCCCTTATTGGCTTCTCCTCTGATCTTAACCTTTCCCAAACCAAAGCCTCTGCATGCAAGCAGCTCCTTTGAGCACAGTAGAACCCACCCCCCTGTCTTTCCTGCTTTACTTTCCAAAAAGCCCGTATGTATCCAATGCGTTACTCCAGTTGTCCAAGTGAGCCTCCTGTATCCATGATCCCAGTGAGGTTACAGAACTGCCACTGCACATAGATTTCCAATTCCTCCTGTTAGTTTCTCGTGCAGGGTGTTGTTGTCTACAGGTACTTCAGATGGGCTACCAGCCATGGCACTTTCCACACATATTGTACAGCGGAAAGAAAGCAGTGGGAAAACAACACTGGTTTGGGTCCAAAGGAGTTCTGCAAATCCCATTTTATATTTAAGGGACATAACCTTTGCATAACCTAGCTGTTATCTGCCTTCAGATTCTAATTCTGGCATTTCAAAATGGCAGTCAGAAATGGGCCAGTGTTGCCTGCTGGGAGTAGTCCTCTACCACCGAATGGTGTAGAAAGGGTCAAGAGCATTCTGTTGAACAAAAGGAAAAATCTTTAGCCTAGGGTCTCCTTAACAGGTCCTCCTCCTTCTGGATAAGGATCAGAATCTCCCTGCTGCCAAAAAGGCCAAGGGCTGCATGGTACGCTTGAACAGCTGCCTACCAAGCTTCCCTGCACATCTGATGACTTTTGGCCACCAAACTCTCCCACCAGTCAAGGGGGGTTGACTAGAAGGCTGTAGCTTGTACCCATCTCAGGACTATGCTGCTTAGGGCTCCTGCAGTTTCCCAGGGATTTTCAAGACAGAGACAAGGTCTAGCCCAAAGAGGTACAGGTCACCAGAGAGATGCTCAGAGTAGGACAACAAACAGATAGAGAACATTCCCGCTCTGCTACTAACACAAGACAGAGGCCTCAAAGAAAAATCTCTCCTGCCAGTAAAATAAGACCATGATTCACATCTGCTCTAACAAGGGCAGGCCAGGCTCATACATAACTACCAAATACCACGTACTTGCCCTCACAAGAAAGCTTTCTCTCAAGTCCCTGCCACAGATCAGCACATACAATTACTAATATTAAACTTAATTCCAGAAGTAACCATCCACTTTTATCAAGCAATCTAGTGTGCTGCAAAGATACTCCAGCATTCAACACAACTACTGTAGGAACTCCAGTTACTTACAGCTGTGCTAGAAAGCTTCAGGCAGATGGTCCATCCTGACTACAAATGCCAAGACTATGAAGAATATCCCACCACGCTCCTTGGTAAAGTTGCAAATGCTCAGCTATAAAGCTTTATACCATTTAATATTTAGCTTTCAGTGATCCTTAATACCTAGATTTAAGAGCCTTCTTCCACCAGAAAGCTTCCTCCCAGGTCAGTATTTCTGGACTTTAATTAAAAAAATTCAAGAGGACTTTTGGATGTTAAAAATGTACAGAGGGTCTCACTAATGACATACCCAGAGGTAACAAGCGCATCCCACAAAAACTTCATACTGATTCATGCAGTGAATATACTTATTGCTACTTAATTATGGCAGTAGTCTTTCACTAAACCTTAAAAAGCCATTCAACTCTTGAAGTCTTTCTTCTTAGAATGTGAAGAAGAACTTCTTGACTTGGAGGGTGCCCAAGCCCTGGCCCAGGCTGCCCAGGGGGGCTGTGGAGTCTCCTTCTCTGGAGATCTTCAACCCCCGCCTGGACACTGTCCTGAGCCCCCTGCTCTGGGTGAGCCTGCTTGAGCCCCTGCTGGGTTGGGCTGGGTCTGTCACCTTCAGTGTCCTTCCCAGCCCTCTCCAACTCACCTTGTCTTCAGAGTCAGAACTTTTCAGTGTTGCATTACTTAGCGATTCTGACGTGGCTACAGAATCTGGCGGGATATTTACACCATTAGTGCCGCTGCTGAGAACTGCAAGAAGGAATGAGAAAAATGACAAATTCACTAGATATTCAGACTGTCCTAAAAGTAGTAAGCTTTCGAGACCAAAATTGCACACTGTTAGCTTAAGTCCATGAAACACTGCAACGTAAAATACAGAGTTCCCATAGTATTTTGCAAGAGACATGAAGACCACGATACAGCAATTCTTAGGAGAATCAAAATTCCAAATGCAGAAAACTAAGTGTGCTGGGTTTGGCTGGGATAGTGTTAATTTTCTTCATAGTAGCTGGTACGGGGCTCTGGTTTGGATTTGTGCTGGGAACAGTGTTGATAACAGATGTTTTTGTTACTGCTGAGCAGAGCTTGCACAGAGTCAAGGCCTTTTCTGCTCCTCACCCCACCCCACCCGCGAGCGGCTGGGGGGGCACAAGGAGCTGGGAGAGGACATGGCCAGGACAGCTGACCCCAAGTGACCCCAGGGGTATCCCACGCCGTATGGAGTCATGCTCAGCGTATGGAGCTGGGGGAAGGAGGAGGAAGGGGGGGACGTTGGGAGCGATGGCGTTTGTCTGCCCAAGTCACCATTACGCGGCATGGAGCCCGGCTGTCCTGGGGATGGCTGAGCACCCGCCTGCCCGTGGGAAGCAGGAAATTTATTCCTGGAGTTGCTTCGCTGGCGCATGTGGATTTTGCTTTCCCTATTAAACTGTCTTTATCTCAGCCCACGAGCTTCCTCACTTTTACCCTTCTGATTCTCTCCCCCATTCCAGCAGGGGAGAACAAGCGGCTGTGAGGGGCTCAGTTGCTGGCCAGGGTTAAATCACACCACCAGGGCAGCAGAAAGTCATTTCATCTGTACAAATGCTGCAGGGACTTCAACACAAAACTTCAAGCAACCACCCTGCTCCAATCTAATACTGTTCACAGCCAGCAGGGCTCCTCTTTGGACTGATCTAGCTCCTTACATACTGAACTCCCACTGAAAATTTGTACCCAAATATTAAATCCATGCCAACAGGCACACTGAGAAATCAAGCTAGAAACATTTGGTTTTGTGCCAGATTCAGCTTCAACTGAAGTTAATTCTGTTTCAGTTCAACTGAACTTCCGAAGGGTAGGGGGCTGGTGAAAACACAGGAGTTTAGGAGACATGGACACCTTGAACAGTTTTTTTGCTTTAACTTCCAGTTTTCAATCATGCCTATTTCTATTATTTATATCAAATTCCATAGCAGTACAATAAGCAAAATATACAGGACCAAGCTAAGAATTAAAAGTGTATCTCAAACTCCCAACTCCAAAATGGCCCCCAAGCCTAGAGGTGCCTCCTAGCGATTTAAGTATTTTACACCACACTGCAGCTAGCTGAAGTCTACCACTACTGTTCAATTGATCAGCAGTAGCTTATTACCCCATGGTCAACGCTGTCACCCTTAAGTTATTTTATTCCAAAAACCAAGCATGGACTATACCAAAGTTAGAGGCCTGGCAACATCAGACAGTCGTCGTATACAGCAAGTGAAGGTTCGACTGCGTTATCCCTTACGTAACACGGATATACTATGCCTATCATTTAAGATGTTTCTTCTCTGAAAGGTGAAACCTAGCAAAACAGAGGTGGATGCTGAGTAAAAACAAACTGCTACACTAAACAGATTTTGTGGTTTTGTTCTCCCTCTGTGGTACTCTAGAAAGCAAAAGCATTATTTACCCATCTGCGAGAAAGCTTTTGGCTGCGGTGCCTGTAATACTGCTGGACGTAGCACACTTCGCTGCTGTTCCTTCGGTTTCTGGCTAGGGAGACCTGCAAGTACAAAAGTTTTTCAAGAGCTATAAAGCTTTTAAGTTGAAAAATTCAACTTCATCTCATCTTCTCTGTGACTGTTTCCAACAGAACATACAATGGAAAACCAGACATTCCACCCCCTTCCTCCCTCAGCCTTAAAATAGAATTTGGTCCCAAGTAGAGAAGACAACTTCCTAGCCTTAAAAGACACTTTAAAATATATTGTCTACCTTAACCAGGAAACCACAGAAGGAAAGCTTATGACACTGACTCAGAAATAGAAGTAAAAATGTAAGATATTACCAGTACACAAGCAATCCTATTTATTCACTAACATATTATTCAGCTACACGTTCCAACTTGTCTTTTCTCCTTCCAAGGAAGTAATTTCCAGATACTGGTAAATGACTTTTTCCCTGCCTCATACAATCAAGTGTATTGGTAGTATAATATTCTTACATGTTGTTTCATTTAACAACCTTCTGGCTTTTTAAATAACCTGGCCTCTGGTTTGCTATAGTGTAAGACACATGGCACTACAACTCTGCTTTGATTCAGAAAGCCAATTGACCTTAAATAACCTAATAAAAAAAATCTTAACATCAACTTTAGATGGTTATGGCAATCCCAGAAGGTTCAGTTTTCTTCACTGAACAAAACAAAGATGAACTCTTGAACCAATACAATACCACAACAGAAGTTACTCATAGCAACTCGGCTGAATATTCTGCAAGAAGTTCCATTCCAGGCCACCCATATTCAAAGGACTTGACAACTCCCAAAATATAACAACTATCGTAAGTTCAAACATTCATGTCAGCTCAAAAAACCTTGTTCTTTTTTTAAATTTACTATTCTTCCTGCAAATAAACTAAACAGTTTATATATATATATAGCAAATAAGAACTTCCATTACTGAAATAGTGCTGTTTTTTTCTCTTAAACTCCTAAGGAGCTGTAATATTAATGTCTTTCCCATACTGGCCAGGTCTACGTCAGCCAGGAAACTCAGCAGGAGCCAAACCTTATAGCCAAACTGTACAGCAGAACAGATAGGATGAAGGACCTGACATCCATGCTCTCGTCAAAAGCCAGGGAGAGGAGGAAGAGGGGAGTGAAGAACATTTTGGACTTTGCCCTAGCCTGGTCCCAGACTGAGCGCCCATTAAGGGCTGGAACTTGAGCAGTGCAATCCTGGGCCGCCCCTTTGGTTCCAGTTTGCTACCAAAGGGATTGAGTTCCCAGAGCCCAGAACTACTCTAGGAACTGAATCAAAGCATGCAAAGCAGACACAACTGGGAGATACATTTCAGAAATGCATGACTGATCCAAGCCAAAATTTGGATGCGTCTATACACATTACACAGTGTCTATGGGCATAACCACTCTGGAGAATAAAGGTTTTTTTCTACATAAACATAGGTATTGCCACCTTCCAGTTACACCAGCAGTTTGAGGAAATTCCTAAATAAAATGCTTGAACTGGTTTCTTTGTACTGCTGCAGGAAGCATTGAACTAACCTGCACTAGGTGCCTGACCATGGATAAGTATTGGTGGCTTCAGCCGGAATCCACTGCTCTTCTCCTCTAGAAGCAAAATACAAAATTACAAGGAGAGAGCTGTAACATACAACATACATTCAGACGTAAAATTAATTCAGTCATAAAATTCCTCATGCTTTCCCCATTGTAACACCACAGAAGTTTTGTAAATATTCAGAGTCATAAGGAGATTTCCAAAGAACAAATTCCCTTCTTCCAAAAGAAGTCAGAGTTTTCAGTGATGATCACACCAAATATACCAAGACAGAAACACAAGTTGTTGCAAGAAAAAAATTCAAAATTGTTTTTCAGGAAAAACACGAACAATCCATCTTTGCAAGAGAAATGGAGTTCCTTCTGTGAAGGACTTACAGGTTTAATAGAGGTTTTAAGTGAGAATCAAACTAAAGAAAGGACAAAAGTATGACTGTACATGACAGCTGCTAATAGGCACCCGACTGCTAATTATCATAAATTAAGTTAAATTTCATTGCTTAATATTAGTTTCTCGTAATTCCATTAGCTCTTACCTTATGCTTTTATAGTATGAAGGCAAGAAATTCCTTTGCTTGTCCTCACTACAGTTAAGGCTTTATAATATAGATAAAATACAAAACTATCAAAAAAAACCACAACTATTACAAAATTAGTTCCTAAGAACTTAGAAGGTATAATTACAAAACGTTTCCTTTTAGGGACCATAAAGGCTGTGCTCAGAATAAGACAAATCAGCACCTTACCATGTTACTGTACTTTGTTATTCTTGTGCCATTTAAGCATACGATAATTCCTACACACTGATACCAACGCAACCAAACCACAGAACAATGGTGATGAACAAAATAGTGGTGCTGTCAACACAGGGTTCACGGGTCATGGTTGAACATCATCATGACCATAGATTATGGTTAATTTGATTTTCAAAATCAAAAAACCAGTATCCAAAGTAGATAAATGAAAAAAATCCCTTAAGTTTTAGCTTGAGGTTAACAGGTGAGCATAGAGAGTCATATTGCAGTCTTCCACTCCCAAAGCATTTAAGAATTTTGATGTGTTATTTTAATTACATCCAGCAAGCATGAAATCAAGCAATGAAGTGAGCAAGAGAACAGCTGTAAGATCAGAACCATCACCACTTCCATTCTCCCAGGCGGGGTCTTACTTCTGAAGTATCAGAGTACTTTGGATTCTGACAGCAGGTTGCTGAGAAAAAGCAGAAAAACGATGAAGCTCACCTGGTTCCGAGTCAGAATTGCCTGTCGAGGGTTCACAGAAGCTTGATGGCATAAAGACGTTGTTCTTTGTTACTGCAGTCAAAGGAAAAAGAAAAATAAAGAGAAGCTGTGTATGCTGTTCTTAATTATAAACTCTGTTCCCAGATACATCAAGGCTGCAAATTGAAAATTATTTCTCTAGTTATTTGTTTTGTTTCTTTTAGGTTTTTCTTTCTTCTAAGCTAAAACAATTTTACAGCCACAGTAGTAAACAGGTCATTGTCCAGAAAATCCCCTTACTTTGTCCTGGAACTGGGAAAGAGCAAGTTTCATTTGTTCTGGAGGGAAGATAAATACAGGATTTCCAGTCTGAATTGTATCTGAACTAGGAATTAAAAGTGATGTTAGAATGTACAATATCACTATAAAATACATATAACATCTCAAAAGGCCTCTGCAGAGAGGGCAGAAAGGAGTGCAATGCTTGCTAAATAGCAGGAGCTAACACCAGGGCTCCTCAAAAGGCTTCAGAGCCATAGCACAGTTTGCACTGAGAGCTAGGAAGTCATGTTTGAACTGTCCCGCAAGGACAAAAATTCTACCAAAACAGAGGAGAGTACCTCGGAGCATTTGCAGATGTCACACTTAAGCAGCATAAGGGTCAACAAAAAGAAAAAAATGTTTGAAAGGGAGAGGCAAAGGACAGCGTTTCTTTTCCACCCTTTGCTGGGACCTAGAGGAGCGAGTAAGAGAGGAGTTTGGTCGAGGCCCTGTTCAGCAGCTGAAGTACTTTCAGTGGTGTGCAAAGACTTACAGATGATGCAGTTTATGAAATATGATGATCAGAGCAGGAAGTAGACACATCAAGAGTCACAAGGCAACAACAGCAGGTTGGGGTTGGTTTGTCTCCAACGGATCATCTTGCATGAGGTAAAGCATGACAATATTTACCAGCTCTTCTAGCTTTTATAGAATCATAGAATGTTTTGGGTGGGAAGGGACCCCCAGAGGTCACCCAGCCCAACCCCCCTGCAGGAGCAGGGACACCTTGAACCACATCAGGTTCCTCACAGCCCCGGCCAACCTGGCCTGGAATGTTCCCAGGGATGGGGCCTCCACCCCCTCTCTGGGCAACCCCTGCCAGGGTTTCACCACCCTCACTGGAAAGAATTTCTTCCCTAGATTCAGTCTAAACCTACCCTGGTTTAGTTTAAAGCCATCCCCCCTTGTCCTCTCCCAGCTGGCCTGGCTAAAGAGATTGTCCCCACCTTTCCTCTGGGCCCCCTTTAAGCCCTGACC